CAGCAGTCTGGTGTTATTCCTGCCCTCTCAGTCCCCCCAGCTCCAACAGCCTTCAGAAATAAATATTTGCCTATTAGGCTAATATCTGTCTTGATACAGTAGATCTTAAAGTACAGCCTAATTTCTAACTCACCTCTTAGTCCTGCGCGCTGTCCTCATCCTGCCATCTTCCTGCTGCCTGCACACTGTCCTCATCCTATCTCCCCGCTGCCTGCTCCTGTGCCTCTCCTGCTTTCCGCTGACCACCACTTTCCTTCATACACATAAAGTTTGCAAAACTGCGCCTATACTTTTAGTGTAATGTTCTGTAGCTCTTAACACTAATATTTTCTACTTACTCTTCTTTTACCACCAAAAGCGTGTCTGATGTCTCCATCTTTCCTTTTCCTCATAGTGTGTCTGTGAATAAAATCTAATCTATATTTAACAAAACAGTATCTGGGCTATCAGATGAAGCTTCTAAAANAAAATCTAATCTATATTTAACAAAACAGTATCTGGGCTATCAGATGAAGCTTCTAAAAATGTCTATAAATATGAAATTGTGGAATGCAGAATCAATACCACTAAAATTCAAATAATAGGGCTTGTTACTTGCTAGCTATAGTTTTTTTTTACGTTGCCCCTATAGGTTTCACTTATAGTAATGTTTTTCAGAGCATAACATTAGACCTTCTTATGTGTTAACATTAGCCTAATAACAAACCACACAGGCTAAGTGGCGAAATAATTCCAGAAAGGCACAATTTATTCGTCATAAAATGAGAATGAAAACATAGGGAGTTCATCTCCTTGGAAAATGACCATGATCGATTTTACCTCACCAAACAATTAAGCCTGGTTTAAATAGAGAACTTAGCTTATCTTGCTAGTTAACGTAACTAACGTTGCCTGTACCGTTGTTCTGTCGAGTTGAGCTACTTTGTCGAGGTAAGCTATGGTTAGGGCTATCGATTAGCACTACGGTAGCTTACCTCGACAAAGTAGCTCAACTCGACAAAACACCGGCCTCATAAGGACAATGGTAAGTAATTCAATTTATAAAGACGTCAGCTTGCATTAGTCGATGAAACACTTAAACGAATAAATGAAGGTTGTAAAATAACACATTTTCAACAGGCTAGACTTCTGTTGGCTACTGTACTTACATTTACCAACGCATGACAAACAGTACCACGACAGACAAAGACAATGAATAACGCTACCGACTTCCTGCTTCTAGCGCCGAGGTGGTTAAAATGGTACGGTCCACATTAGGGTTGTCCGAAATCGTTTTACATAAACTTTTCCTACAAGGTAAGGTTATCTTTTTTTTTTTTTACAACAAAAGTAAAATATTAAGACCCCCCCCAAACTGCTATTTTTGTCTCTTGGGGGGGGGGGGGTCTAGGTCTTGGTTACCCCCCGTAATTCGAACCATCACTTTAATATACTCTCACATTTGTGGTTTCATTTAGGTTGATCATTTCAGTATTAAAAGTTAACTGCCTTCTGCTGTTAGCGCTAGGGTGACCACCTAATCCATGTCAGGAGGGACACTATGAGCTACAACAGGATTTGTAAACTTTCAATGAAAAGGACCAGGATTTCACTGAAGCACTGGGTTCTTGCCGTATGTTGATTGGTCAGTCTCCTATAATCATGCATATGTGTCAGTAATGTTAATGTGAAACAGCTGGATGAGTCTTTCAATTTAGGAACTAACCAAACATTTTAGCAGAGCACAGAACCCTTTCAGCTTTAAAGTAGTTCGTAAAAGCTGAAGTAGCTCATAGTGTCCCTCCTGACATAGGTGGTCACCCTAGTTAGCGCTGGTGCCTCACAGCTAGAAGGTCCTGGGTTCGGTTCCAGGTCCTTTCTGTGTGGAGTTCTTACACTGTTCATGTGGGTTTCCTCCTACAGTCCAAAAGTGTGCAGGGCAGGTTGATTGGTGAGTCTAAATTGGCCCTGTAGTTGTGTGATTGTGGCTTTGTGTGCACCCTGCAGTGTGTTGGCAAGGGTTGTTTCCTGCCTGCACCCATTGTTCCTGGGATAGGCTGCGACCTCAGTTGGGATTAAGCAGTTAAGATGATGGATGGATGTTCATTTTTTGGTCTATGTGAACTTTTAATGGCTTTTCTGTCTTAATGTATTTCAAATTTTAGTTCTTTTTGAGTGGTAAATGTTTCTATTTTCAATAGATTTCCTACAGTGTACAAAATATAACTCACATTAGTCTCCTTGAGTTAGGATTGATTACAGGTTTGAAGATCACTCATTTCAAGAAAACTATGAAAAGGATAAATATTAAGTATCCCTTTAGACAGAGTTTACAATTATTGTGGAAAATGAACGACTCTGATGGTTGTCATATTCCATTTTCCATGGTGTTCAGTCCCGGGTTTAGCCACATGTAAAGTGCTGCATAGACCAGGAAAGGTCATGGTCTTTTATAATTTTCCCTTGTTTCACAAACATCACACATTATAATAGAACAAAGAACAAATTAGCTAATACATTAAACTTAAATTACTTCATATGGCGATGTTCCTGATGTAATTTGGTGAATAACAAGGCAGAGTTATATAACTCACTTTGATTACCCCAGCTAATGTTTGGAGACAAGCCTGATTATTGTCCAGAGCAAGACTCAGTAAGTGCATCAGCAATACTTGTTGACAGCTCTGCCATTTCAATCTATTATTTTGCTTCTTTGTAAAGTTGTAAATTATAGTATAGGAAGAGTAATGGAATAAATAAATATTACGTGCCAGTGCAAAAACCAGGCTATTTGCTTGGCATTCAGCTGTAGGTGTTGATATCTCTGTGAATATCTGCCATCGGTCCAATATTTAGCCAACACACCTGGATCCATTCCCCTAAGTCAGGAAGACAAAAAAAAGCAGTGTGCCCACAACATGTGGCATGCAGTGACATGATATAGGCATGGCAGGGCTGTTACAGACTTCGTCTTCAAAATGTGATCTAATTCTGTCAACTGGCTTAAACTGACCACCAGGACACCTCCACGCCTTCTCTTTATTCAGCCTAATAGCTTGTTTTGGCTAATTACTGTAGCCCATTGGGGTCCTATATGCCACACATGTGTCATGGAAAGCTGCACGGTAGGGCATTGGATAAGCCCTCACTGACTGCAACATTTCAGGGAATACAACATTACTGCGACCCCCTCTGACTGCTCATCTGTATTTTCTGATTTAATTCATCTGTAATGTATCTGCTCATTTAATTATGCTCATTTATTAAGATAAAATTCCTTCACTATTTATGTATGAAAAGTATAATGACAGATCCGTAGAATCTTTAGTGGAAAAAAATATCCTGAGGTCAGTATCTCAGATTTAACCTTATAAAGCGAGCCCTGGCAGAACACCATATTCCACTAACACCGGTCCTTCACAATCATAGGAGCCCCAGGAAGGAGGCTCTGCATTAAAGTTTACCCACTGTCTATCTACTTAGCGTGCCTTCATTCTGTAGGTGAACCTGCTATACAATACATCCGTAAAGTTTCCCTTGTAAATAGCAAACCCAGAAAATACCTTATCTCTAAATCTTTAAATATCCTTGTGAGAGTTATCAGCTTCCTTGTGTCCATGTAGTGGAATTCCATGATCAAAAAGCTAACTAAAACTGAAGAGCAAATTTTCAAAGCTCACTCAATCCACCGGATACGTTTTTGAGTGAATTTCTGTGGATTTTTTCGAGTTTTGGAAATTTGATGTAAGTTCTTTGTTTACTTACATGAGGGCTGAATAAGTTTTGCTTTCAAATACTGTAACACATAATGAGGAAGACTGACTTAAGGTAACTAGCAGCTTGTGGCGGTTATGTGTGCTTGTCACAAAAACAACAATAAAAGGACTGAGTGGGTTTTGAGTGACTGAGTGAAATTAGCTCTTCAGTTTCCTTTGCATCTGGACAGCTGCCATGAAATACATAATTCACAAAAATGTAAAAATATATCTGATATGACTTTGTGTCACCCCATCCTGGGTTGTTCCCAGCCTTATGCCCATAGCCTCTGAAGCTCCGGACCCCCCACGACCCTGAATAGGACAAGCGGTTTCAGAAAATGGATGGATGGATGACACTGTGTTTCCATGGTCAATATTCATCCACCTTCCACAGTACAGGATTGTGAGGGGCCTGGAGCCTCTCCTAGACAGCTTAAGGCACAAGGCAGGGGACACCCTAGTTCAGATGACAATGTGCTAAGGTTCATATTCCTATCACATTTGGGTTTTTTTAGGTAAAAATTAAGTTTGTTAAACATTTCGTCTTGTGACTAAAAGTAAACTTCTGGATCAGATCCAATGGGAGAATTCATTAATTTTCCAAATGTGCATGATAAAGCATAGAATTTAAGCTTTTGGACTTGCTAAATATTCAACTTGTTTTAGGCGTGTTTTCTATTTGCTTTTCCTCAATCTTAGGAAAGCAAAGGATTTACCACTTTGCTTTATGTGTTTTCCTGCAGATCTTTAAGTTTTTTAAGTCTCAGTAGAGGAGATCCTTTCCCATCACACAATGCTGTTAGCTCCATGCTTCATTGTGTAGGTGCTGTTCAGTGGAAGAATCACTCTGTTGAGTCTCCACTAAAACATAATGCTTGGGTATTTATCTATGACATATTTATAATTCTTACTAAACTAAATTAATATGAACATATGGTGTTTGCCACTTTTTTTTTTTTTTTTTTTAAAGTGTTTTTTCACCAATCCATTTTAGATTTGAGATGTTTTATCTTAAAAAACAAGACTACATACAAGCCTAAAAACCAGTATGTATATTTTTATACTTCAGGAAAACTATCTTCGTGACCCCACACAATATTTGGAAGCATGTTACTTGAGTGGGTACAAATAATGTGGTAGTTCACTCTTGCTTAATGTATTAACAGAAACTAAATATTAGTGCAACATTATGCCCTACTCCCACTCCACTAAATGCCCAACAGGGATCTTAACGGACACACAAAGAAGGCTGGTACAAACAAATAAAATTAATAACAGTTTATTCATGCATAAACCCCCACTGAAAGAGCATTGACAAGGGATACACTGCCTAATGACCCACTACCGTTCAACGGTCAGGCCCCAGTATCACACAGTTAGCTTAAATCAAAATAGCTTCTGTTAATCGATATCATACACAAATACAAACATCCACAACACAGCACAATATGATAACAAGAAACATAGGAAATACCACAGCAAATCCACAGCATTCAGTTACATTAGACAAGTGTTAATGGGCAACATCTTGTTATCCATGCCCTTAACAAGACTATTCCCCCCTAAACAAAAAAAGGAAAAAAAACAATAAAACAAAATACAAACCAACGAAATAACAATTCACTATAACAGGCAGTAGGAGGTAGATTAATAATATGTAAAAACAGAGGAAAAGCGGCACAATCACTCTGGAATCCTCTTACGCTACGAATTCCCATGCAACGCTGTAATAGCTCCAATTGCTGCAGCTCCAGATCACGGCCCGCTTGTCACGTTTTGGGCTAGCTGTAAAGAGTGAAAGTTCCGCCAGTCATGCTAATAGACTACTTTTATCCACGATCAACTCAGTGTTCGAATTAACTTTCCCCCTTCCTCTTACCAACTGGACTCCCAAACAATTCCTCATTCCCGCTTTTATCTCCGTTTCAGTCCCCGCCCCTGCCATCCATTCCACTTATGCCCCAACGGAAGTAATTCAGCTCACCTCAAGGCGAACCAGCTCCCTCTACCGGACCGGAGTATGATAGGGACCAACCTACATAAAACTTCTTCCACTTAAAGATGTCTATACTACGCTCTGCCACATTAGTTACATACTGATCACGTGTTCATTCATCGTTAAATTAATCAATCATAACGCTACACAGTTAATAGGCTACTTGTGGCTCCTGAAGTGTTATCCAATATTTAAAATATTTTACCGGCTTAAACAAAAATTCAACTGACATGTGCACTGCACTATAAATCTGTAACTAACAACATTCTGTAATACAAATATTACAATAGCCATTGTGGAATTAAGTGTTAAGAAAAGTCAAGGAAAAAATGTCAGCATACAATTCTACATAACACCTGCATTTGTGCCCCATGTCTGCAATATATAATGCGAGGCACTGAAAGACCACAAGCAAGACAGCAAGTTCACACAACAGACTCTTATTAATACTCCATAAAAAGACCTACACGACACTACATGCTACCAACAACCCAATAACTTTTTTCTTCTGCACAGCCCACTGTTCTGGCATGTTATGGTGGGAACACCTTTCACCACAACATTACAAACATTAGCACTACACGTGATATTACATGTGCGGAACACGCGACACATGAAACAGGGCACAATTATTGCCACCAAAAAATACAAAGGGCTATTTAGACCAGCAGCGCGAGCATGATGAGGGCTGAATGAGTTCTGCGGATTCTGCGAGTAGAATGCAGTTCGCGGACACTACAGTACGAATTGTCAAATTTTGCTTTGCGGCTTTAGTTAAGCAAAACGTCTTAGAGAGCTATATATAAATGTGTGTGCAGACTTCACTCGAATTGAAAATCTCAGGCCAGCCAGATGACTAAAGTTGGCAACTCGCTGTTACTATCTAAATTAAAGTCCTGTATATCATCCAGTACAACACATAAACTTCACAATATTATTCAAACTAATCAACAGGAGCGTGCTCCATGACAACAAGAGAAGTAGACAAGAGCTTATGTTGGACGTCATATCATCACTGCACGTACAATCTTAAAGAGGGCGCGAGTACTTCTAGGGCTGCGAGCAAGCAATTAAATTAAATTTTGTCGCACTGCACGTTTCATTTGTAGGCTGCCAATACCGCCAATAACATTGATTTGGCTCTTAAAGCCCATCTGCCCCCGATTATTGAAAAACATCAATTTGTGGCTAAATATAAGAAATATGGTTTTCAGCACATTACTTAAAAACTAAAATAGAAGTTTGTGGATTTTTTCGAAATATAAAAACAAGGAGCTCATCGTTTATTTAATATGTCAAAAAACTATACAGTGTAACTTAAAGGAAGGCATACTGAATGAATGTTTTTAAGAAACTACGAATGTTCATACATATCTTAAAAACGTAATCTTGCTCTTTGATCACTTAATTAATTCATTTGAAAAAGACGCTATATATTCTATAACCTCAGGGGGGCAGTATTGTTTTATCATTGAACCGGCAAAATTCTGAGAAACATCAGAAGTTGTGTTACTACGAATGTATGTGTTTGAATGCGTATGGAGATATGTGTGTGTGTGTGTGTGTGTGTGGGGGGGGTCATATAAAGTTAATATCCATGCTCAGAAAAACGACCATTCAAAACATGTTTAAATATTTATTGAATGTAACATGTAAATGTAGTTATCCACAACGATTTAGATCAACAGATAAGCAGTTAAACATACATCCTTCCCGCTCACGATTGTAATGCTTTGCATTGGCTGCAATGAAATATCATTTGCTACATCGACTTCCTCAGTAGAACAGAGTATTGATTACAAATAGCAGCTTAAATTTGACAGTTCAAGCAGCTATATATGCTTGTGTGTATCAGTATTCAATCAGTCCTTCTTCCAACCGCTTATCCACTATTATTATTGTTGTTAGTTGTTTCAATGTAGAGTGTATAATCTCACTTTTTATCGTTAGTTTTTTATTCAATGTTTTTCCAAAACTGTTTTGTGTTTCTGAGTTATTGACGTCGGCTACATTTGTAAACTGCGGTTCCATGTCCATTCTGCCCTCTGGTGTTTGAATGGTCACACAACGCACTTTGTTATTTGCGGTTCATGTTTAGTGATGTCATGTCATGTAGGGTCCACAGTAGCTGGTGACTAAGTAAGAATAAACTTTTGCATCAGAAATCACGAAATGTTGTAAATGAAGTTCTAAATGCCTATACAAGCTATTAAACTCCTTTAAGTTTGCCTTGAAATGATTGTTCTTCACAATGTTCATATACACTTTTGATTTATTGATGTTGTAACCCTATTCCACAATGACAGAAATATACAACCAATCAACTGAATGTAAAGCCTTAGAAGACAAAATACATGCATTTTATGTATCTAAATGGTTTAAAGATCATGTCATGTGTAGTGTCTTTTTTGCTCATATTTCGGTAACTACTGCAGGTATCAGTGCATTTATGGATGGAGCAAAAATGGGTGCCATTGTAAAAAATTACACCAGCATCTGGCTGCGTCTGAAACAAACAGGAAGGAGACTCAATGATGCATGTAGAACTTTTCTTTTTCCCCCCTGGTTTTCTAAATCATTTACAGCTTTTTAAGACAAAAAAGTTACAAACATAATTGACCTGCAGTTTGCATCCATTTCAAAATGTTACATAAATAGATTTAAAACATAAATACATTTATGTAAGAATGAAGTACATGAATGTACAGCAGCAGCAATCATATACAGCTTTGCAGTTTTTGTTTGTACACCACTGTCCACCATCTTAAAATGGGTGTTTTTGTTGTACGTGTCACAATTATTTCTGTTGCAGTCTTCAGTAACGCTGGTCGTGGTGGTTGATTTGTACATAAAATCTGTTTTTTCTGAGTAAAGACAATACTTTTGTGATTTCCTCCGGTGAAGACCAACTAAAAGTAAAGTTGTCCAAACCCATTGTCTTCTCTGAAAGGAGAAAAGAGAAAGAAAGAATACTGTGAAAAAAATACCGTGAGCGCACAATATATGGATACGGTCGCACACACACTGAATCATTCTAGTGTCAACATTTTTTGGAAACTTAGATTTTAATAACCTTCATTCTAACAGACTGAATGCAGCAGAAAAGATGTCTTATTCAACCCAAGCTAATGCCTGCAGCTGATCACATGACATGTGGTCGCCAGTTTTTTAGCCTCAAACACTTAAGCCAATATAGTGCTGTAGTTTCCCTGTTCTACACGATTTAAACACCCATAGTTTCGTGGCAAATCAGTATCATCTATGAAAAGCTACTCATTCACTGTCCATTTACAGTTTATTACTGGCACCATATTCGTACCAAATATGTGATTTAATTTTTAGAGTAATATTTCGCAGCAGAATATCACTTCTACTAATGTGAAGTGATTTTTTTATATTCTTTGTTCTCTGAAATTCCTTTCAATGACAAAATTTCAGCATTGACAGGCCTTGAATAAATGATGGGCATATATTTGGTATACATTGACTGATATGACCAAGTATAGTAGCTCCCAGAAGATGAACTTCCACATCATCAGTACAGGCTACTAATGGAGAAGGTCAGCCATCTCTGATTTTTGGTTTTTGTCAGTTGGCTTTGCGTTGCAGCTGTGAGCCAGGGCAACTCATAAGCGGTGTTCATCCTCCACATCCACACTGCAGGAGACAAGGACTTTCCTTATACCTGGGGCGTGGGGGGGGGGAGCAGTGTGGGAAAAACATGTGGCTGGACTCACCCCGCGTCTCCCGGCGCTGTCTCTAACAGCCCATACCGCTGATGGTGCCTATTCTGTCCATTTTGTGTCCGAAGCAGCCGCCCCGGGACGTGGAGCCCCCCTTCTTTGTCCCCGCTTTGTGTCTCCGTGAGTTGGGCTGCTCGTTCAGGATCCGGGCCCACATCCCTTTGGCGCGGGTGTCCAGCCTCAAATCCCGCAATAGGCGTGCTTTGGACCTCATGTTTTCCAGCTTCCTCTCCCACTCCTCAGATGCCAGGTGTTTAGAAAGCTCCTCTCCCAGCACACTTCTAAGAGACTGGAGCACAGAAATCCACCTTAACCTTGTTGCACATGTCTGTTTTCTTTTTGTTACAAGTGATAAAATGACATTTGGAAATGAAGATATGTACCCATTTATAAGATAAGACAGAATGCTTTCGGACAAATGCAACTCAGTAACTACTTTGTATAGCGGAAAAGTGGACTGACATTATAAAGGTTGCATGTGTTCCGCGCGTGTTTCGAGAAGCAAGCCTATAATATCCCTGTAAAAAGTGTCTGTATATGTAGTTTAACTTGGACATGTGACAGTTCCTAAATGTAGGTCACATTATACAATTACTGAGTTATAAAAATATATTCTGGTTTTTCACAGAAGAATGTGCATTGAAATGTTAATGAAGATATTGACAGTCTTGTGATGACATTCACTTATTTGAGTTTGCATTGTTTACAGAAAACTAGAGCTAAGGCTTCCATTGGGGAACAGGTGTTTTACCTAACTCTGAATTTGGGCAGCTGTTTTACAACTAGGAAAGACATACTCATTAGTTTGTCCTCATCCAAGGTTAAGCATAAGTTTCATTCAGAAATATGTTCATGTATATTATAGGCAAAATCGGGTTGCAGTGGCAGATGGACCTTCCTCTGTAACTATCGAACAAAAAAAGTTTCTCTTTGAAAATATTATTGGTTAGCACAAATGCAAAAATTGTTACTTTTTAAAGATTACAGCGATCTTATTTGATATTCAAGGCGTCTTTTCTCACGCTCGCTTCCGCCGTTGAGAAATAGCGTAATTATGAAATTAAAATGAAAAATTATGCTTTGGAGAATTAATGGAAGTTTTTATACAGGACACTACAAACAAAGTATACATGGACCTTAACGGACTCTTCGTTATTAGCTATAAGAATTGATTACTATAAATTAGTTTAAAAAAATCAGCAATCAGTCGGAGTCTTTCATATGAACACGAGTACCTTGTAGAGTGTAAGGCTGGTTTAAGGTGCTCAGCATGGGTGTCGTTAGGTCCGATCATTCGGGGCTATAGCCCCGAGTATTTTAAGCCAAGCCCCGAGTATTTTAGTCCCGATGCCAATCGTCCTTCAAAAACAGAAAGTCAAGCCCTAGGTAACATTGACTTTTCTATAGCTAGAAACTCCCCTGGTGCTCAGCCTTCTTGAAAATAAAAATAATGACTAAATTATGTTTTTCCTGTTAAATTACACCATGTCCACTGCTTGCGTCCGGAGGCTCTCTAAAATGTTCCAAAACTACGTGCTATGAGGTCATAATCAAAATAACTACTGCGGAATAATGTTGATGCAAATATTACTTGTCCCATTGATAGTCATATAATAGTATAACATCAAGTAAAAGCACTGCGGAAGGATATCAGTAAAACTGAACAAAAGCTTAAAAACATGCATAAAATAACTGCATCACTTTCTCGTGTAATTCAGAAGTCACTAATACGCTCAGCCGACGTCCTCACGACACAAAAGAAGACTCTTACCTTTTGCTGTGCCTGCGTTAAAGGTTTTGCCTCTGTGCTGATGCAAAGCAAGGTGATCAATACTCCACAAGCCGCCAGATGGGAGATATTCATTCTGATCTCAATTTTGAAGTTGCGCCCTATGATCTTAAGGCTGAAACTTCCGATAGTTTACTGTTCTTCGCAAATGCGCTATTTTCCCTGCCTCTCTCCACGACTTTCTCCAAGTGCTCTCTGATTTTGATACACCATTCACGCTTTTTATAGGCCTACTCTGTAATGATGTCATAGAGACCTGCGTAATGGTGTCCCCCCTTTTTCCCACACCTTGCCAACCACCAGCCCCCCCCCCCCCGCCCCCCTACAGACAAACACTTTACCTGCATCTGACAGAACACGCTTTACTATTATATTAAATCAATTGTTTTCACAATACATATTAAGCAAAAGTTCTTTAGTCGACAAAATACACAGGGAGCAGGTCTTTTTTGTCATAGGCGGTCATATATCATTTGCCGTTTCTTTTTTGGTATGTGGTCATACACTTATTACAAACTTAACTACAACTTACAAAAATCTTAATAAAACAAAGTTTCCACGAATACGTAGGCCTATTTAATGGTTTTGGTTAGACCGCCGTGGCACATCAGAGCGGAATAGTATACAGAGTCAGGGAGGCAAATATCAGTACAGCCTTGCCAATGCGATTGGGGAATAGGAAAAACTACAATAATTTACACTTAAACGAGTATAAGGTAAAATCAGCAAGGTTCCAGATTTTGTGCTTGTATTCAGATTGTGAAATTTGTGTCAGTGTCAATACTATGTGCATTTGCCGCGAGAAACTATTAAAAATCACTCAGAGGGTCATCGGACGCGGCTTTTGTACAAAATGTTAATATTTCGGTTTTGTAATAAATTGTTGCCACCTTTAAAATACATATCGCAACTTGCTTTGAGTTGTGTGGAAATGGAAATGGAAAGTCTGATAGCATTTTAGTGCTATTTGCCTTTTGCAGACTTTATTGTTTTTTTTTTAATCAAACGAATTTATTGATTGTCTGAGATTAACTGTAGATAAAAAACAGCTATACACCTTTCTGAAAATTCGTCCTTGGAAAAGACCTCACTGAGTCTTATGCGAAATATATCTCAGCGACACAAAATATAGTTCTGAATTCTATTTTCTTAGCAAATGTCGGGTAGCATTTCTGACAAATAAAATATATTTATTTGACAATTTATCAATATCAATTAATTAACAAAATAAACAGTTAATCGTTTAAAAAGACAATATCGGTAGATAATTACAACCGTGATATACAGTATACGTATCTTGTGTTCAAAATCTGACATATTGGATATTTGGCGACAGGGCAATGTGAAATTTTATTTCAGAAATGATTGTCTGCTTCCATTTTCCTAGGATTAATGGGTGTCTAGTTAATGTTTCAGCATAATGTATTACCATTACTTTCTATGGAATCATGTTTTGTGTTGCTAGTAATGCTTTAGATATGTTCGGTATGGTGAGTAATTATATAATAACAATACATATGCCTATTTAAACATATACACTAATATGTATAAATATATTATATTCATGTATATAATAAAATGCATATATTTGCATTTATTATTTAACCGATATTAAAATTAATTTCGAATCCATTCATTTTGGGGGAAAAAAACACACCAATCACAGGACCAAAACATCTTCGTATTAATGTAGCGAAACGGGCAATGCGTGGGGTGCGTGGTTCAGTGGGGGAAACCCGCAGCCTCGCACCACACCGCGTTGGGGTTTCGGGTCTCGTCCCCTTTCTGATTGTGTGGAGTTATCTTGATTATTCCCTGCCGTACGGTTCTCCTCCGGGTGTTCTGCGTTCCTCCTGCAGACCAAAGGCATGTGTTTAGGGTGTACACCTGCCCTATATCGCCTAAGATAAGCTCCAGTCCTCCCGTGACCATATCTAGGAAAAGCGTCAGGAGGATGGATGGAAGATCTCCTATAGGGGAAGCCGCATGTTATAATAAAGGGCGCAGATTTGGGTATGGACGGTAGGGACATGTCCGTACCAATATTGTGGGAGTATCGTGTGTGTTTTGGGCGGTGGGCGGTTCGGGACTGATTTATTCCCCACCGAGGTTGAAAGAAAGCCTACGCCCTTGGTTATAATTAAACTGTGAAATTACATCGACGAAGAAACCGCACTTAGTGATCTATGTTAGGCTACTTTATGAAACTGTTTTACCAGAGAAAGTTTTGTTCATTATTAAGTGATTTGCATATATATCAGATTTTACATAAACGAATAGACGATATAATGCTGAACATGTTGCGCTAAGGAAATAAAGCGATCAAATGGTTATCCGATGGTTAAGTTCAACGCGTACAGCCACGGATAACGACGTACCGCAAAGCCGGTTAACAGTGAAATGGACGCTCTTTTTTTACATTTGGTTTAAAATCAAATATCATTCAAAAGGGAGCGAACTCCTTGGTGGAAATATTTAGCTTCGGAACGCGAAATGGTGGTGTTTTCTGCGTTAGCTACTGTCAATAATTTATAGAAATGAACCAGATGTTACTGTGTCACTGAACATCTCACAGGGCTTTTTTTGGTCTCCATGTAATGTTTGTTTAGAGGGAAATTCTCCTCTAATGGATGCCTGGACCTGGCATTCCTCAGTCTGCTGCTCCCGAGTAACACATCTAGATATTGTACCATAATAATATTGTATTTATATTTTTTCTTGCATTTGGTCAAAGTTTTCACACAACTGGCCCCAGGAATCTTACAGCTGCTAGAAACATAACTACCTGAATAGATTTCTGAAAAGAACGATACCAAGAAGCCAACTATATAAAGAAGGAAATTCTCTCTTGGTGAACCCATTTTTTCCAAAGACATGCAGTAACATTTGAACAGATGTGGCACAATGAAATCGCAGGTGTTGCAGACCTACAGAAGTTAGGAAACACTGCTATGGTTGATGAGGCCCCCTGTGTAGTCTTATTTCAAGAGGATAATGACATTGAAATTAGCCTACCTACCTGACACCTGACACCTACAGCTTGCAATGATGAAATAAGTCTGACATCTCACCTTGCCCACCGTGAACTGACAGACTAAGCACTAATGGGACCTGACGCAGTTTGAACAATACATGGCCTTTTCAATGAAAGCCAGCACACGCGGTGCTCACTAGAAATCAGAGTGAAGCCTGATAGGTTCAGACATTGCCGACGGTTGTGATTTAAGACATTGCCGGGCAGTGGAGGTAGATGAACTTGATTTAGGCTTATGCTAAATGGTAGAGGAATACTTATGTGACTGCCAGACAACAGCTCACTGTGGAAAAAGGAGGTTTCATTCTCCAATTGAGCAGTGGAGGGTGAATGATCCTTTGTTGGACGATTGTGTGAAAAGCTTAGCAATCAGTATGGCCAGCATGCCTGTCTAGGGCCAGCGAAGGGGGTCATAACCTATTAAACACGGGGAGAGGAGATGCGTCAATGTGGGCCGGTCAGCGGGCGCCTTTCTGGGCAATGGTGTGACGTCCACTTGCTCTGAAGAACCGGGGGGGGGGTAGGGGGCTCATATTTAATGTGGTGCTTTTGTGGTGACATTATTGTTTGTGTTTTTGGGGAAAGGGGTAACCTTTAATTATTCTTTGGAAAGGAGCTTCAGCAGTAATGTCCCAATAACATAAAACAACTAACAATGCAAGCCATCTGAAGGACACCAAAAGAAACTCTGATAGACTACAACTCTAAGAGCTGTTTCACTAACTCAGTGAGTCATGTGTAACTGCTTCTGCTCTCATGGTTACATGAGTGCTGATTAATGCCATTTTCCCCTAAAATCTAACAGGTACTGGGCAGAAAAAATATATATCAAAAGTTGTCCAATGCATGCTGTGCAGCAGTGGGATGCATCCCACATCTTTCACAGATATATATTTTTTATAATAATGTGATAATTATAGACCTTTGAGAAGTATATGCTTGTTAACTGGGATCTGAGCTCCAAATACCACATTATTCCAACTGACACCACAAGTATTTCAGTGGCATATGTGGTATAACAGTTCCCATCTTATCTTGCAAGTAATAACTGTAAAACACTTACGCACTGCATGGTGAGCCTGGAGTGAAAGACGCCAGGCAGCTGTAGGGCCCTCGGTGGCCACGGGTTAGGTCATGTACCCACGGTCAACATGTACCCTTCCGGGGCTTGAGCAAGGTCCTTAATCCCCAATTGCTCTGGGGACATTGGCTGACCTGCTTTCTCAACTATGCATCCCATTGGATAAATACAAAAGCATACTAAATACATACCAGGCACTGGACATCTTGTATGGCTGGCAGTTCATCACAGGGAAACTGACAGCAGTTTGCCCTACTGTTCTAATTAAGCCAGGAAGGAAACATGGGGAAACATTAAGAGTCAAACACAGCTGACCAGTGGCAGTCTGAGGGGCAGACTGGGGCCAGTCGTTCTGTTAGGGGGGGCATATTCATTTGACCATAATGTCCTCCAAGTATTACTTACACTAGATCGCCAACATTAAGAGGCAAAAGACAATTTTGAAAACCGAAAAAAGTTATTTATGCAGTGCTTTGCAGTTCCACTTCACAATTTTTACAAGCATGTAACTCATTTCTGGTTTAGACAGTATTTCTTCCACAAGCTTGATCACTTCTTCGCATATTGATTATTGTTTAACTTGTACTTTCCCGACCCGGCGCACCCGCATTATGAGTCCGTCAAGCAAATGTGCTTACGGTTCGCCTGTTGCCAGAGCACAAAATATATAAATGTAAACACACACATATAAATGTAAATAATAATAATAATAATAATTTATTTCAGACTCAAGTAGCATACGTATATACGTATTCGGCTGGGGGGTGGTTGAGGCATGCGTGTTGTCACAGGGGCATAATGTTGAATTGCAGAATAAATAAATAAAATCCAGGAAAAGTAGTTGAAATTGAAAAGCAGATGGCAAGGTTGTCATTTTATAAAATTGTTCCAGTTTTATGGAAAAATATAAATATTGATAAAATGGGAATGACCGTATGTGTAGCTCCCTCACACTTCCCCCTAAAAGCTCAACTTTTGCTGAACCTCACTGGACCTTCAAAAATGAAAAATGAAACCAGACAGCTTTTATTAAATGAAAAATTACTTATTAAATAAAAAGGTATTATTATTGTGAAACCAGCCTATTAGT